TAAAAATATTTAGAAACTTACCTAATCACCGTTCTCAAGATTAAACATATTCAAAACTAAATTTGACCCAAAAGTCAATTCGTCCAAAACTCAAACTTCATAATCAATCTTTCAACAATGATTCTAAGTTTTTAAAACATCATTTTATTCATCTTAGGAGAAATCTTAAGATAATAGTATCCTTATTTAATTTTTAATATGGGGTCTTACAAGCTAATCAAAAGCTTACACGTAAACTCTATAGGCATGCTACAACCCATAGCACGTTTTTCTCATTTTATTTTTTCACTTTTCTCTTCACCCACCAATCGCGTTCTTAGATATTCACTTTTTTGAAGTAGAGTTATATTGCAAGTTATCATAATTTATCAGGTTAGCCAATCAAATGAAAACCCTTTAAACCTAGCACCAATAAATTTCATTTCCTATTTTATTCTTATTTGTTTTTTTGTTTTAAATAAACTTCAATCTTTGAAGTGTGAAATAACAATATTACTAAGATTCAAATTCAACTTTCGTGGGTATTGGAAACCTCAAGTACTTAAGAATGATACTTCTGTTTCTGCCTTTGACCAATCAAAGACCTGTTTAGAGTCAATTAATATTGCATTGAACACAGAAACATCCTTCAAAATCAAAAGTCTCGCAGGCACTCGCTGAATTTTAATTATTCCTTGAAATTTTCATAATCTAATTCCTTCCTATTAATTCTTAGATTTTATGCCAAACTTTATATTGTAATATTTGGAAATTTTTATCTAGTCCTAAAAATTCACTTGAATAATTAGAAATTTTCTGGCAATGGGTAATATATATAACATGCTACCTTTTCTTCACGTTCATATTTTGTATCTTGGGTGTCCTCAATCTACAATTCAACTTTTCTTGCAAGCATGAAGATTGGTTCAGTTTTCTGCTACTCAACATGTGAAGGAGGATTTAATAATTTTTTAAGTTGTCTATGAAATGACATTATTGTTCAAAGTCTGGTATTTCTTGATGACAATTTATTATTGCTTTTTTTTTTTTATGTATATTCTTTGGCCTAATCAGTTTTTGATTTTATTTCAATGTGTTGGCTACCTTATTTCAAAATATATACCCATCAATAGAAGATATTTATTGTTCCGATTTTACAGCTTATAACAATAAACACTTTCACTGTTCTTTTTTCTGTTGCGTGTGTTACTAATCCATATGACTGTCCTTACTTACATGTGTTTGATTAATTCTCTTCATCTTTCCCTCATTTGTCAGGACTCTTACTTTTCCCAAAAACATCCATTTTCTAATTCTAACTTTTAATTAGCTTTGTATCTATCCTAATTGATGAAACACAAAGTTGATTATGCACGATCAAATCAATCGAGTGTGTGATGTAAAGTAATACAAAGATTGGGTGGTTGAGTCTAGGTGACCTAACCACTGAAGGTAATAACGGTGGCTAGAGAACTCTATTAATGAGAGAATACAAGGTAGCAGGGGAGAGAGAGAGAGAGAGAGAGAGCAAGAGTAAGAATATACTCAAGCTGAAGTGTCCATCCCTTGTGGAAGGGGTTTACAATTTATAGGTACAGAGCCTTGTCGTGAGAGTCAAACTACTAATCTATCAGGGAGGATAGCTACAATTGGAGAGATGCACTATCATGGAGTCATGACTATTCCGATGATTGATCTTTCACGTGCGTTGACCCATCCTGAACTCTTGAACTTTGGACTGGATTGAGACCCTGAGCTAAACATAGCCTAACTTTTGATGATATGAGTTCAACCTATGAAGTAGACCTAGGCCCAGTTGGATCTGGGCTCATCACTAACAACATTACTGACACTACATTAGAAAAATAATTGTGATATGTTAGCAATTTGTTTGAAATGACATATTCTAGGAGTTGACTAAATGTTTTTCCCCAATAAGTCTCTTGAAATATCATAATTCTTTTATATTTTTAATGCATTGCATATATGTGTATTTATGTATTATTGCATGGTCCTCTTTTGTGGGGATCCAATAGAGAGATATGAAAGTTGCATTTTGGAATCGTGACTTAGTTATGTAAAGGATGATTAACTTAAGTTGTGAGTTGTCTATATCCTGTGTTATGCAATTGGTGATTCTTAATTATTTTTATTGGATAAGAATCTATGCCTTAGGTAATAGTTATAGGATGCTCATTTTAAAGGAAGCATGAAAGTAGAACATTTGTTTTTCATTTTTAATATTTGGTTATATTTGAATGGTGCTCTATGTCTTCTTCAAGAGAAAGGAGTTTTAGCTTGTGGTTGCTCCTTATTAATTTTGAGTTTGGGGAATCAAAGAGTTCATGAATGATTTAATAAGGATTAATAGGTATCAGCTACCTATGCCGATTGAAAGTCATGAAGGATTAATATATGCTGAATATTAATGTAGAATATTATTTTTAGAGTTGGGATGTTATGCAACCACTATTAGTTTGATTGAATAACACACAGACACACACATATATAACAACTTTTCCTCTATATTTATTTGATGTTCTATGGAAGAAGTCAATTTAAATAATGATAAGTAACCATGAAATCATGATAGAACAACATCCTTCCGTATTATAGACAAACAATGGAAGACACATTCCCTTGACTAGAGCACAAGTTGAATTTACTCTTCCAACAGAAGTTTTCAAATCACAAGCTTGGAAAATTATAGTAATATTAAAAAAGATGGCAAAAAGTCTACTCCATTTCTAACCACTTGATAGTCATTATGATTTTAAGCACTAAAAATACTATTGTATTTTATCGTTCTTTTTTTTTTCTTTGGTGCTTGTTACTTTGTTACTATTTTTCCCTTTTTTAGCACTAGCAATGCACCACATGCTTGCACGTGAATAATATTCGTACACAAACATTAATAAAAATATATTAGGTATATGTGTGTCTAAATTAAATATCATCTCAAATTAACTGAACTTACTTTTTCATTACTCATATTCTATTATACGATTATGCAAACTTTGTATGTTCCCAAAATTCTTTGTTGTAACTGCAAAAAAAAAAAAAAAAAAAGAAATAGTGAATTTTTTTTTTTTTTTTTAGAATTTTGTGATTGAGATTGATTTTTTAACAATATTTGAGAAATTAAATTTTTTGAAATTCATTGGATTAGGATTCCACTTATAATTCCTTGAATAAAATAAAAGTAATTGTCAATATACTAATCACATTGGAACCTTACCATAATTATGAATTAGTTAAGTCAATTGAAATAAGATTTAATATACTACTCTATAATATATATTATCAAACATATTAAAATTCTAAAAAATTTTAGTTTACTTAAAAATACACTAAAATATCTATTTTCATAAAATTTTAGTACAACTTAGAAAATTTATTGTGATTGAAGAATTATACTGAAGTAACATAAAATAAATTAATTTTTAAAAACTATATATACAATTATTTTTTATCTTAAAAATAAAATGGTTAAAATTTTTGATGAAAAATAAAATACAAATATATAGGCATGGTGTTATATTTACATATGAGATTAGTAATATTAGATTAATGAAGTTTTTGAAGTTTTTTTAAACACTTTATTGAAAATTTAATAATGCATATTTTTTTAATGACAATATAGTCAATCAAATTTTATTTTTTTTTATAGAAAATGATATTTATACATAGAAAATAGATAATTAAAATAGATGTTATGGATAATTTGGAGATTTAACTATATAAGGATATGATAATAATTTAGATATTTAATTGTGAAATGATAGAGTGGTCTTTACAATCATTTATAAGGGTAAAATTGATATTCAAAAGTTTTTCACCTTATTTTTATAGAAACTGATATTTATACATAGAGAATAGAAAATTAAAAGAGATGTTATGGATAATTTAGATATTTAAATACATAAGAATATGATAGTAATTTAGATATTTAATTGTGAAATGATAGAATAGTCGTTGCAATCCTTTATAAGGGTAAAATTGAGATTCAAAATTTTTTCATCTTAAAGTACTTTTACTAGTAGTATAGATATAGATAGATATAGATATACTATCAAAATTAACTGTCAAATGTACTTTTTTCTTTCTTTTTTTTTCTTTGGTGCTTGTTACTTTGCTACTATTTTCTCTTTTTTAGCATATGCTATTCAAAATAAAATGTCAAATGTGCTTCTGCCCTTTTTTTTTGTCTTTCTCTTTTTTAGTATATACTGCTCAAAATGAACTGTTAAATGTGCTCCCCCCCCTTTTTTTATTTTTTTTATGTAGCCCAATTTTAGTACAATATTTACTTAGTGAAGCCATGAAGTGATTGGAGATCGAGAGAGGAAGAAATATTAGATACAATCATATGTTCTTTTGGAGTTTGTTTCTCACGAACAATGATAAAAGGTGTTTCTCACTTTACAAGCTTGGTGCATGGTGTAAATTTTAAAGTACTCCTTAAAATGCGCCAAAATTTAATGAATTATTCACTATAATATATTGTAAATTCGTTTGAAATATTGTTCGTATTTCGACACATGGAGACCAAACACGTAATCAAGCTCTCTTTTTGATACTGTACATTGAGAAGTTTTACACTTTTATCATAATCCACAAGCATTAGGCTTAGCCTACCAAGGAAAATCTAGACAAGCATTGTTGTTGGTGGCTTTGATCAATTTACTCTTTTATTTAACTTTAAAAATCAATTCAAAAACTATAACTAAAAATGGTTCACGTGTAATGAATGTGGGCATCAACTAGTGAATCGAAAACTATAACTGCAATTGGTGGGTGATCTCAAATCAGATATTTGACTCAATTTTAATTTGCTTTGTTCAAAGACTCAATTTGACTCAAGTGTAGAAACGTAATCTACTTCAAAGCCTTAGATTGGAAGCCTTGCAATTGAAAAATGATTGTTTTAGTATAAGAAAATAAATTCATTTGGAATAATGAAAACTGCTCGATTCATTTGGGTTTCATAAAAAACCATATGATGTTAAGATTTCAGTTCCTTATTGATATTTGTTTGGAGACCTTCTGGGAGTTTTCTCGTCGTCGAACCCTCTTTTTCTTTTGGAATAACCTGAGCTAGATGACAAAGCTGAGCTGGAAGGTACTTTTTTGATCCTATTGAAGTAACTTGCAATCTTTTCTTCTATTGCTAGGAAAGTCTTCCTTGGAATGTAAGTCAAAGATGAGACCCCTTCACATTTCAAAAATGACACAGCAACCCCAATTGGCGCTAAAAATTTGCCAGCATTAAGAACGATGGTAGAAATTACTAACTTAACTGGAACAAAAAATTATTAAAAATGGAGGAAATATGAATTGACTGTAATAACCCTACAACATATCTATCTTCAGAAGCCGAAGAGACTACCAGTTTCATTTGTGTCCATTGTTTGTCTTAGAGAGAGAGAGAGAGAGAACACTTAGATCTCATGGACAAATGATATGAAAACCTAGCCATTTCATAGGTTTCGCACCAAACACTTAGATCTCAGGGACAATTTTTTTCTGTTAAACCATTTTGGGTGAGTTTATGTGATTTCTTCATCTGTTCGAGAAGAAATCAGATCTTAGAGAACCCTAACCTGTTTAGCCTTAGTTTTGTGTTATGTATGTTATTTTTTTGTCCAGCTCTTTATCTCTTTCTAGTCTATTTGTCTCTTCATCTCTCCATCTATATCTCATGAATCTAGTAGAAACCCTAACCCTCTCCTTATTCAATCATTGACTAGTAGTCTCAACCCTAGATGTCTTGTTTATACCCCAAACCCAAACCCCAATCCAAATGAAAACCCTAACGTAACACGAACCCATTCCCAAACCTAACCCAAACCCTAACTATCATTCGGGGGGGGGGGGGGGGGGGTTGAGTGGAAAGAAAACTTGTGGATCTTCCAAAGGAAATTAAACGCGTGGAGTGCACGATACTACATAAAAGAGGGGAGGGGTGAATTGATTTTTCAATTTTAGCTTAAACAATCACCAATTAAAAATCTAATTCTATCTCAATTATCTCTTCTTACAAATGTTTAACAATTAAATTTGCGATCCCTTTTTCTCACACCACAACTCAATGAACCCATGAAGATTAGTGTATAATTTTACCAATTATTCACTCAACACTAAATCTCACATGGGGATCTCAAACCTGTAACGCCCCGAAAAACCACTGGACGACATTACAATCTAAATCATTCACATCATGAGAGCAACTAATAAAATCCATCATTTAAGAAAAGCGCATTCATCAAATATAATATTTACAATATCATCCCAAAAGAATATGCCTAACATGGCCTTCCTATCTAAAGAATACGATTAACTATGGCAAACTACATCTAACAAAATAAACTTTGAAATTTTGCAGCGGAAATAACAATAGGTTAGACTTTACATAGTCTCAAAAGGAATTTC